TATATATATGCCTAAATGTATGCACAGATGGATGGACAGAAGGACAGATAAGTAGATATACATACAGACAGACACCAGATAGGAGCTGGACAGATACACAGCGAGGTATAGTTCGAGTATTTTTAACCCCAAAATGTAGAAAGCTCCAAAATCGGAAACACTGTGATTCTCAGCAAGAGAGCAGAAGTAGAGAATTCCACACCGTGAAGCTGGTTCCCACACAGGGTCACTTAGAAGTATTGCAGAAAGTGACCTTCATGCAAAGGTATGCGTGTGAAGGTGCAGCTGGGACACGGGTGTATTCTGTGTCTACACTTGGCGGCCAGCTCCAGGATGGCTCAGCAGACCGTGGACTGAACTCTCTGACCCCATCAGCCTAGTCAACCTGTGCTCCTGCAAACTGTGGGTGTCCCAGTACCAGAAACAGTGATTAAAACATCCCCGTGTCAGTGTATCCCCTGAGATCCTGCACACAGCATTACCATTTAGAAACGGAATTAATTCTGTCTTGCAAGAGTAAAATTCAAAACTGCAGCCTAGAGGTCCATCCACAGGTGAACGGATAAAAAGAAAATGCAGTGTGTTCTAACACTGTGGAGTACTACCCTGCCATAAAGAAGGACAAGCTCGAGTCACGTGTAGGAAACGGGTGCAATTTGAGACCATTACGTTAAGGGACACAACCAGACACACAAGCTTCCGCGTGCTATGGCTTCTAAGAGAAGCCCAAGCATAAATAGAGAGCGAGATAGGAGATACTGGGAAGTGGGGAGACACAGATATCTCAGAGGGGAAGGGGCCAAGCCTGGAGGGAAGGAGAGGGGATAGAACAGGAGAGAAGCTCTGTTCCGCGCAGGAGGAGCGACATGACTGCGGGCTGCAAGGACGAGCTCATACACGCTGGAAGTCCCTGCCAACTCCATTCCGCCGGCCGCTGCAGAGCTCAGAAAGGCGTGCAGTGGGTCCGGGTGCAGCGGCGCTGTGAGGTTGGGGCCACGGGAGCTGGCACAGCGGGCTCCGGACAGAAGCCCAGGGTCGGGGCCAGGCCTTGGGGAACACGAGCTCAGAGCAACCAGGACCTGCGCAACGCCCAGCCTCTGGCGCCACCTGCAGGTGGATGGCCGGAAAGACGGGATTCTCTATTCTTATTATTATTAATTATTTTAAAGAGAATTTTAAGGGCCGGGGATATAGCTCAGCGGCTTGCCTAGCAAGTCTGAGGTCCTGAGTTTGATTCCTG